TACCACTTGAGCCACAGCGCCACTTCCGGCTTTTTTTCTTTTTGCTTATGTGGTGCTGAGGAATCGAACCCAGGGCCTCAAGCATGCAAGGCAAGCGCTCTACCACTGAGCCACCTTCCCAGCCCATACAGAGTTTTCTTGTATTACCAAGTTCTCTTTATAGTAGAGAAAACAAAAATACAATATATGCCGGGCGCAGGTGGCTCACACCTGTAATCTTAGCTACACAGGAAGCTGAGATCTGAGGATAATGGTTCAAAGCTAGCCAGGGCAGAAAAGTCCATGTGACTCCTATCTCCAATTAACCACTAGAAAACCAGAAGTGGCACTGTGGCTCAAGTGGTAGAGCGCTCATCTTGAGCTGAAGAGTGCAGAGTTCAAGCCCCACAACCAACAGACAAAAAAAAAAATACAACTTATAAACTTCAAGTATTATTATCAAATGGAAAAACTGTTTATAATCCTAGTTTTGTGATACCTAAATTCATAGACACTTGGTATCTCCAGTTTCTTATATGCCTTCCATGTATCGCAGGCTGCCTCCTGCTCATTGCATGTGTATAAGGTTTTTCTTGGTGTGCTGTTTCCCAGCACAGGACTGGATGTGGTCTCAGACCACAGCTGTAGTCAGCCTTGGCTCTAGGGAATTATAGCAAGTCTGAATCAGAGGAGAGAATGTCACGTTTCTTAGTCATGATTTCATCAATGCATTGTAAGCTCTACAAGGCTTACTAGTAACTGAGCCTCCTTGGTTTTTTTAAAATGATATGATTTGGGCCCAGAAATCCTAAAACCTTATTCCAGGCTGTTGTCTTCAGTCTAGTGCTGATATTTGCTGGTAACTTAAATGAACTTTGTCATTAGGAAAAAAGACAAAATATCCCATACTTTCTTAAAAATTGTCAATAAAATGGATATTTGTGGTTGTATATTGTTTTTCTGTAAGCAGAAATGAAGAATGTTGAACTGCTACAAAGAGATAAAGGTTTTTTGATCCATGTTGGTGGTCTCTGCTCTTCAGTATCTGAGGTATGTCAGAATTGAGAGTTTTGTTTTCAAACTTATTAAAAATTCATGTTGCAATTATTTGTTTTTTTCCTTTCTTTCACAAACTTTTATTTTCTTTCAGGCTGATTTAAGGTCTCATTTCCAGAAATACCAAGTTTCTGAAATTTCAATTTATGATTCTTCTAATTACAGGTATGCTTCCCAAATTCAGGAAGTGTGCATTCCTATCTGTCCACTGTATACTGATCTTTGCCCTAGACACTAGTCCCAGTAGCAACACCCCCTGGCCAGCCCACAAGGATTCCCAAGTGAGGAGAGGGAGACAGACAAATATAAAACTATTCATTGGTGCTCTTCTATATACCTTTTTCTTTTCATTTTTGGAGACAGAGCCTAGACTGGAGGACATGGCTCAAGTGGTATATCACCAGCCTAGCAAGCAGGAAGCACTATGTTCAAACTTCAGTTTGGAAAGAAAAGGAGATAGAATCTTACTGTGTAGCCCGGGCCAGACAAGTGCTGAAATCTTCCTTCTTTGGTACTGAGATTATACGTGTGAGCTACACCTGCCCTCTTTCTATCCACCTTTTAACTTGTTCACATTGTATGTGTGTATGGTGTGTATGTGTGTATGGTGTGTGTGTGTGTGTGTGTGTATACTTTATTCCATTTTGTGCATTAGTTAAGAAAATAAGCTCTAGAAATAGTTGGCTTAGGTTCAGTTTTGGCTCCATTGCTAATTTTAGTTTGGACAAGTTACCTAACCTCAGCTTCTCTGTAAAGCGAAGTTAGAGAATCTTTGTAGCATTGCTAAGAAGCTGATGAGTTAAATTATAGAATTCCAGAGTAAACATAGAGTAGATGATCCGAAAATAGTATTTAGTTTTATTCTTTCTGATTTAGTTTGCTTTTTAGTTTATATTTTTAAATTTTTTAGACGATGGATGTTTTATCTATAGATGGTCACTTCCTATATATATGTTGCTACTCTGTGACAAAGTATCAAATAACAATAGTGATGGTATAATGGAAATACTTTTCATTACCTTGTCACAAAAATGATAACTGCTTAGCTTTGAAATTTGTTTAAAAATAATTACTCATCTTAAATGAAGTCATTTAGGATAATTTGTTTTTTATTTGACCTGTTGATATGCTGTTTATACATTTTATTGTTAAAATAGTAATCCTTAGACACATTACTTGATATCATTCTTTTGTGTCTATTTAAAAAAGAAGTAAAGAACCAAATATCAGTGGTTCACACCTGTAATCCTATCTGAATTATTCAAGAGGCTGAAATCTGAGAATTTCAGCAGAAAAGTCCTCAAGATTCCATCTCTAAATATAACCAGCAATAGCCAGACTAGAGTTGTGGCTCAACTGGTATAGAGATCAGCAGGAGAGCAAGCTTGAGAGAGCAAGGTCCTATGTTCAAACCCTAGTACCAGCAGTAGGAGGAAAGACTTTGTGGGTATTTTTTCCTTATTTAAAGTATTATAGATTGTGTTGAGATTTAGAAAACATAATTATATAGAAAAATACAGGGAGAGCTGGGCACCAGTGGCTCATGCCTGTAATCCTAGCTACTCAGGAGGCTGAGATCCGAGAATCGCAGTTCAAGGCCAGCCCAGGCAGGAAAGTCTGTGAGACTCTTATCTCCAGTAAACCACTAGAAAACCGGAAGTGGCACTGTGGCTTAAGCTGTAGAGCGCTCACCTTGAGCTGAAGAGCTAAGTGACAGCGCCCAAGCCCAGAGTTCAAGCCCACGACGGACAAAAAAAAAAAAAAAGAAAAAGAAAATAACTACTCTTCAGTTCCACATACATTGTCTAAGGGCTATTCTTTTAATAAGAATGAGCATTTGCCCAACTTTCTCAAGTATATGATTAAACTTCTGATTTTAACTCCTAACTTTGTGTACCCTCTCACTAAAGGTTATAAAGATATTCTCTTCTGTATTCTGCTAAAAAAAATTTTTTTTGGTCGGTCATAGGGCTTGAACTCTGGGCCTGGTCGCTGTCCCTCAGCTCTTCAGCTCAAGGCGAGCGCTCTACCCCTTGAGCTACAGTGCCACTTCTGGTTTTCTGGTGGTTTATTGGAGATCGGAGTCTCACAGTCTTTCCTGCCCGGGCTGGCTTTGCACCACGATCCTCAGATCTCAGCCTCCTGAGTAGCTAGATGACAGGCGTGAGCCACCAGCACCCGGCTCTGCTAAATATTTTTAATTTTGCCCTTTACATTTAAGCCTTCAAGCCAAGTGGTGTTTGTGTCTGTATATAAAAATAAACTTTGCTAGATGCTGGTGGCTCATTCTTATAATCCTAGCTACAGAGGAGGCTGAGATCTGAGGGTCATGGTTAAAGCCAGCCCATTTTCACAATAAAAAGAAAGAAAGAAAGAAAAAGTTGCTGGGAAGTAGCTCAGTGGTAGAGCACTTGCCTTGCATGCATGAGGCCCTGGGTTCGATTTCTCAGCACCACATAAGCAAAAAGAAAAAAGCCGGCAGTGGCGCTGTGGCTCAAGTGGTAGAGCACTAGCCTTGAGCTGAAGAGCTGAGGGACAGCGCCCAGGCTCAGAGTTCAGGCCCCAGGACCGGACCAAAAAAAAAAAAAAAAGCTAGACCAGGCAGGAAAGTCTGTGAGATGCTTATCTCCAACTAACCATTAGAAAACTGAAGTGGCACTGTGACTCAAAGTAGTAGAGCACTTGTCTTGTTAAAAGAGCTTAGAGACAGTGCCCAGGCCCTGAGTTCAGGCCCCACAACTGACAAAAAATAATTGACCTTAATTTTTTTGTGTGGACGACCACTTGTCCCCAGACGACACATATGTACAATACTACCAAATATTAGTTTGATGTATTTAAAATATTAAATATTGTCAAGTGCTGGTGGCTCACACCTATAATCCTTGCTATTCAAGAGGCTGAGATCTTAGAATTGGGGTTTGAAGCCAGCGTGGGCAGGATAGTTCATAAGACTCTTATCTGAGGCCAGGCGCTGGTGGCTCACGCCTGTAATCCTAGCTACTCAGGAGGCTGAGATCTGAGGATCGAGGTTCAAAGCCAGCCCGGGCAGGAGAGATCATGAGACTCCTATCTCTAATAAACCACCAGAAAACCGTAAGTGGCGCTGTAGCTCAAGTGGTAGAGCACTCGCCTTGAGCTGAAGAGCT